TTGGTTAGGGTTTTCGTTCTTGATTCTTGAATCGATGAAGCAGATTGGTTAGGGTTTTCGTTCTTGATTCTTGAATCGATGAAGCAGATTGGTTAATCGGCCCTAACACATTATCCAACTTCAACTTCAAAGAAAATGTGAATGAGGGTTAAAATGGTAATTTACTGTCATTCAGATAACAATTACCAAACAACATTATTTCATTCAGTACTTAACCATTCTGACCACTTAACCATTCTGCACCAAACCATTCAGCAACCGCCAAACAGCCCTTAAGAGTACATGTTCTTCTAAAAAAAAAATCTGGGTAATATTGTTTTGTGAAAAATGCTTCAAAAATGCGAATTTGAAATTTTAAACCCGGTTTTGATGACCACTCCAGAGTTAAATTCAGACGTGAATTTTTCAATAGTTATGTTGTAAGTCTGGAGGCCGTAAGTGAAAATTGTGTCTAGATACATGTTTAGGCGGGAAAAATCAATAACCGTCTTACAGAAACATGACACATGTCACAAAAGTTACTTATTATTAGTATTTATAGATATATATATACACGCACACCCAAAAGCAAGTGCTTGAGTTAACTTACCATTTCCCTCATTCAAATTGGTCTCTTAACCATTTCTTTCCCGGATTTTGATCCAAATGTCACTACTTTTGCAATACTGCGGACGTAGCTAAATACCAAAAATCCAACACAGATATGCAATTGCGAACGGCCAGGTCTGCAATTGCGACGATAAACTGCTTGAATTTGACCTTTTTTTTGTCTTTTAGCTAGGTTCGCAATATTGAGGACCTGAATATTGCGAATGTAGTGAAAATTGGGTCAATCCGTGAGAAAAATAATTAGTAGGCCAATTTAAATGAGGAAAATGATCATTTGAGCTAATTTCTCCCTAAAAGCGCATCATCATTTCTAATTATTCCATTTTCCATTTTGATTCACTTTTTATAATAACACCAAGGCTGTTTACCCATATCTTTATCTAAAAAATGCTTACCATTAGTCGATACATTCATTCCACTTATTGGTTAAGAATCTAGTCCATCAAAACAATATCGTATGCAACAATTTATCCGTATAAACATTAATTGGGTAAGAGTTGTCACCCTCACTTACCAAGTAAGACTTTCGGTTCTTATCATCGTTCTTATCAGGTAAGATTCTCAGTCTTTATTGTTATGTTCATCCGATAAGATAAGTGATCTGGTGATCGCTTACCTGATAAACATTTAGTAAACGATCCCCTAATCTTCCTTAAACGTCATCATAAACGCTTGTTGATTATTTCATTAATAGAAAATCGCATCATTGAGTAAATAGATGATATTAATGCAATATTTAACCTATTTATATATCAATGATTCGTGTTTGGTTTATTCAGTTATTACAGTTAAACTGTTATTTAAGATGCGAGATAGAAATAGGATTCCAGTCGTTAAAAATAATATTTTCCTAAACATGTCAACGACCTCGACAAATAATTGGATTATCTTTTATATATATCGTAAGTAAAATAGGATTATATTTTTATAGGGAAAATTGCATAAAAAGTAACGTACTTTAACTTGATTCCTATTATGGGTAACGTACTTTCAAAACTTTCATTTTGGTAACTAAGATATAAAGTTTTAAACATTTAAGTATCCAGGTAACCGATTGAAGCATTAACCGATTGCCATGCTCCATGTTGAATTAGATAGGTTTGATGTTTCTAGTTGAACCCCTCTCAACCAAACTAAACAATTTATTTCTTTCATAATGCATTCTAAACCAAACATTATTGGGTAATCTGTTAGGGGGTCTGATTTGATGGAATGGTTTGGAGGGATTTGGATTTTGTAGAAAGATTTGGAATTGGAGGGATTTGGAATGTTTGGTATGTTTGGTTTTTAGGATTTGAAGTGGAATTGAATTCTAATTAAATTACCTTATTATTAATTGATTATTGAAAAACAAACGTTTTTAACATATTTTAAAACATTATGATATACAAATTCTTTGAAATTCCAACCACCCCCATTGGATTTCATATCCTATGGGTGAAAGATTCCAAATCCGAGCATTTCTACAAACCAAACACGAGATTTAGATCATTTCCAGTCTTGCAAACCAAATAGGTCCTTCAGGGGCAAAGAACCCGTCGTCTTCTCGGCTGTGCTGCAGAGGCTTCTGGTTTCGCCCCCTATGTCACCACATAGAGAGCATGGGGACGTAAAAGGGAGGATTCTATCAACTTATCCGACCTGAGATATCTTGGAATTTAGTAGGTAGAAATATGTTGAACACATATTGGTTCAATGCTTAAGTGCAAGAATCCAATAAAGGATGTCAACTTCCTCAATTCAAACATGTAATAAGAAAATGCATTTTCACAAGCAACTCGTTTCAACTGTAACTAGAAAACGTTTCTATTTATTCATATTGACTTTATGAAGTTCCAAACAACCACATTTTAAGGAATGGAAAGGAAGGAAATATGATCTATTGAATTCTGAACTGGATAACTGAAAGCAACTTTATAACAGTATCGTTAGAACTGAACTATGATAAATAGGAATTATGTGAAGTTTCCAATCTTGAGGAAGTCGCGGTGTTGACCATAATCATCGAAAGATCATGAATTTGATGATAGTATATGATCGTAAAAGAGCCTTTTTTTACCCCCGTCCCTGTCCAGTGTCATGCCAAACGTGAAACAATTAGCTTTGTCTTGTTTCATGTTGCACCAAACGTGAGACAGTAGTTTTGTTCTTTCTAATCCTATGTACCAAACAAAAGTTTTGTTTAGCTTGTAATTTATTTTAGATACAAGGGCTTGTTGTGGTCTAACCAAATCTTAAGGGTGCTTTTTGTAATTGTATCTTTTCTTTTGGAAAAACTTTTCTAATAATTAAGTATTTTTTAAAAGAAAAAAAAAAACAAATATGGTCTTAAGACTCGCGCCAAAATCATTCACATAATGTAGATTGTAGAGGATCCTTCTAGTGATAGCTTGAAATCTTGGTTCACTCCATTAAAAATTAACGTATTTTAATTTGATTTTTATTTTGGATAATGTATTTTTAAAAATTTTATTTTAAAATTTATGATCTAAAATTTTAAACATTTAAGTACTTAAGTAATCGGTTGAAGCATTAACCGGTTATCATACTGATATAACGAGTGATGAGATGAAATTGAGTTGAATAGCAAATAATGTTGAGTTAGATACCAATCACTTGCCATATTATTATGATAGCCGGTTAATGCTTCAACTGTTTACCTGTGTACTTAAAATTTTGAAACTTTACATCTTAGGTATCAAAATGAAATTTTTGAAAGTACGTTACCTAAAATAGGAATCAAGTTAAAGTACGTTGTTTTTTCATGCAATTTGTCATTTAAGGAATTATACTCCATCAATTATTCAATTGTTAAATAAATATATGTATATTTTAAAGATGTATAGATTATTGTTTCTGATAAGAATTGAACATGTAAACTAGTGAATCAAAAATCTAATCAATACTGAATTAAAAGTAAAAGAGTGATGCTGATATCTTAGATTTGAAACTGATAATTGAAGACTTCAAAAAACGACATTTGATGAAGGAAGATGACCCATCGAAGCTCACGGGTCTTGAGAACTCATCATCAAAAGCTTAATTGTTGAACAACCCAGATAAAATCTGAAATACTGTTATGTTTGTAATTAAAAAAAAATTATCTTTTAATTCTTAAACTAAATTATCTTAAAAATAACTAATACTTTAATTAAATAAATTATATCAAAAACCGGCTACTAAGGATTCTGTTGAGAGAGAACTCTGGAAAAGAATAATTGAAAAATCCATTCAAACCGTTAGATTGAGATGATCTAACATATGTGTAACCACTCTTTTAGAAAAAAACAAATATTTCCATCTAATTTTTAAAGCGAAATACAACACAAATTGGAACGAAATAACATATTCAAAGTTAGAAGAATATTTTAGTGTACCAAGTATCAACCCGACTAACCAATACGATTTGGGCTGGGTTGGATTAAGATTTTTCAAACTGCAAGTACTAGGTTGGATTATTCAAATGTCTTCAACCTATGATCATCCATAATCTTTAATGAGATATCTATTTTGATATGATTTATCATTCATTTTCCTATGCTTATTCTAAATATTATATTGATTAACATATATTTGTTTCATATTTTATATGTATTCAGTTTTTAATATGAAACTATTTTACGTGTATTTTTTGTTTCATAAACACGTCAAAAAGGTGCATATTGTGAATCAAGTATATGTAAAACAAACACATTTTGAAATAAATATATATTAGGGGTTGTTTGTTTATCTCTTAATAGTTTTATTAAGAGGAAACTTCTGAAACGTTAAGAATTGAATCTTGTTTGGCAAAAAAAATCTGTCTCTTAATAGTTCTAAAACTCTCTGAATGATTTTGTACCATGAGTTTCCCTTAACTATTCAACGCCTAATTTCATTGTAAACAATTATCAAACAATTATATTTCATTTTACACTATATCACGAGAGTCTTTTAATTATTTTGATCACTTAATTATTCAGTAGCAAATCATTCAAAACTGTGAGACAGCCATTTAATGACTACGTTAAATTTCAGATGTAAATGAAAGAAAAATCATATAAAATACAACATTATCGCCCCCCAAGAACACGCTTGTTGTCACTTACAACCCCTCACAAAATTTACACAACCTCCCCCGGTCCATTTGGTAGATCATCAGCTTTCATCAAAAGAGAGCTCTACGCCATCATCATGCAAATTTCTTGAAAGCTCGCCGACGATCAAACCACTATAATTCGAATTCAACGTCAATAAATTTTTGTAACAGGTACCTGTTAATCAGATCTTGTCATATGAATGTGTTCGTATCACTAGTATCCAATTCTCTTCCATTTTCATGTTGTTTGATTTTAGTATATATTCTATTTTTCAGTGCTTAAATGTCAGGTGATTCAGCGGCGGCGACGACCATCTCCAGTCACCGGAGTGCCGCTCGCGTCGTAGTAGTCGGTGATCAAGCCACTGGTAAATCAAGCCTAATCGCGACAGTTGCCTCCGATACTTTTCCCGAAACCATTTCACCTGTTCTTCCTCCCACTCGTCTTCCTGCCGACTACTTCCCCGATGGCATTCCCGTCACAATTATTGACACTCCATCTAGGTTTTTAAATTAATTTTCATTCACTATCGGTTTATTTGATCGATTGATTCTTTTTTGTTAGCGTTGTGGATTATTCGTTTTTAATGTAGTTTGGAAGATAAACCTAAGGTAGAGGAAGAATTGAAGCGGGCCGATGCAGTAGTCATAACTTATGCTTGTGATCAACCTGAAACACTCACTCGCGTTCAGACTTATTGGCTTCCTGAAATTCGGCGCCTAAAGGTTTCAATCCATTCATCCTTTTTGGATAGCGAACAAGTCTCATAAGAGACAGAATTGACGATTTCACGTATCAAAAAGAAAAAAGAAGTCACTTCTTTATTGATTTCAAGATGGTGTTTGTGTCTAATTAGTTGGAAATCAGTTTGTGTAACTTTGGAAGTGTTATATATAGGTGAAGGTACCAGTGATTGTGGTTGGATGCATGCTAGATTTGCGTGACGAACACTACCCTATTAATCTAGAGCTGGAGATGGGTCCAATAATGCAACAATTTAGGGAGATTGAGACTTGTTTAGAGTGTTCTGCAGCTAACCTTGTTCAGGTATGCCATTGTGTTTAACCTTGATTCTATTATGTTAAGAAGATCGTAATTGTTCAATTTAATGATGATTTCGTCTATATAACTATTCGGTGCATTTCTGATGTTATTACCCTTCCTCAACTTTTACTTCAGTTACCTTCGCGGTCCACAGCTTGAGCTTTATTGATATGTTTGCTTGGTGAAAATCCAAGTTATGATTCTCATGATAACTCGTGCTTGTGTGTTCTCTAGTTAAAATCACACTGTTGATGTAATCATTGTCAAATTGTTGTCAATCAATGTCTTTATGTTTATAGATTTCCAGTTTATGCAACATGATCTTAGTTACATTTTAATCAGTTCTGCAATCTTTTATTTTGTCTCTTCTTTAGATATTTTTGTCCTTTGTCAATGGGGAAGTTATTCTTCAAAAAAGTTCTTTTCTGAAGCCAGTTCTGCATGCTATAGTTTATTATACTTTTGAAGCACAATTATTTTGTTGGTATGCATCTGGAGAAGTTAAAATGCAGGAGCTTTTGGTTGTTGCTTGATGCTTAGAGAACAATCTTAACATGCCATATTACTAGAGACTAAGTTAATTTGATAATTCTTTGTAGGTAGCTGAGGTCTTTTATTATGCTCAAAAAGCAGTGCTTCATCCAACAGCCCCCTTGTTTGATCAAGAATCTCAAACTTTGAAACCTCGCTGCATAAGAGCATTGAAAAGGATATTTATTCTTTGTGATCATGATATGGATTCTGCCCTTAATGATAGCGAGTTGAATGAATTTCAGGTAATTTTTGTTATATTATCTTGCGTAATGTGAAAAGTTTTACTTTCTTTATAAATTGAGGTCCTTGACTTCCCTCTTTTTTCTTCTATATTTTTATTCAGTGATTCGATTGGGAATCCATGCAATAGTGTTTCTGTATGTGACATGAAAAAAAAATTCATTTACCTTGCATTGACAGGTAAGGTGTTTCAACGTTCCTCTACAACCTTCTGAAATAGTGGATGTTAAGAGAGTAGTGCAAGAGAAGGTACCTGAAGGGGTCAACTATCTTGGGATTACCCTAGAGGGATTTCTTTTTCTTCATGCCCTATTTATTGAAAAAGGCCGCCTTGAGACTACGTGGACCGTCTTACGTGAATTTGGTTACAATGATGACGTTGAACTCGAGAAAGAGAATATTCCTGTTCCATCTAAGAAGGCTCCTGACCAGGTCATGCTCCTATAAAATAATCGGTTGCTCTTAAGCAAGTAACATCATTGCTATAAATATGTTTTTTGTCATTACGTCTGATTAAAAATCTATTATTTCCTATTTGAACCTTGCCTGATTATGTTTCCGTTCTGCATTTATGCGGTTGGTTATATAGGAATGTGATGTGTGGTGTTCTTTCAGTTTGTATGCCACTCCAGTTTCTTGGATCTTACACCTGAGGAGAACCCTCTGTATTTCGATGAAGAGTACTGAATAGTGGCAAAATTCCCTTGTATCTTGTGTTTTTGCAGTGTGTCGAATTGACGAGGGAAGCTGTGGACTTCTTGAAAGGGATATTCAATTTGTTCGATTCCAACCATGTACGCTTTCCTTCACATTGTATAACAATGTAATTTTCTTGTTAATTGATCCTGAACTACATTGTGGAGTTTTACTTCAAAGCTGCTTTAGTTTATGTGCAGTCATTATGCTTTTTTCATGTAATAGTATGACATGAGCATTATCCTAAGCATAGATTTGCGTCAAATATGGGTTCTGGCATTGGACTTCAAGACCATTTTTTGTTTGGCATTTTAGTCTTTTATTTTATTTATTTTCCTGCCCAACATAATCTAATAAAAAATTACAACCTTTCAGAATCTTTTTTGCTTGAAAAGTTAGTCTCGTCTGGAGAAAATCTGATTCCAGACCAGCATTTTCCAGTTCAAAGCAGTTACTGGTACCTGCCATTGCATATAAATGACCATAAATATTTGTCGAGCATACTATTGTGATATCAATTCTTGTAAAATTATGTCAACTCCTTCTTTCTGGTTTAAGAATAGCTTTGGTTTTGGTGTTTAAAGATGAAGATACCTTGGAAAATGATGCTCACTTCATTTCTTTTGAGGTCCCAAATGACTTTTCTCTTATTTTAGGACATGGTCAAGTTGTAATTTCCCTTTCTACCCTTTCAATGGTGCATGTTCTTTTATAAAATTTAAAAGATAAATGACTTTTGGCTTCAATCTAATGAGTATAGGAAGTGAGAAACTGAAACAAGTTTTTTGGTACCAATAATGTGTACAACATACAATAAAAGGAAATGTGGCAATCTGGAAATGAAATATGGGAGTACCAGCATTCCAATCATCAGGTTTCAACAAAGATTGGATGATGTCAGACCCAGTGTAGTGGATCAGGGTCTCTCTTGTTTGAATTTCATGTTTGAAAGATTGGATGATGTCAGACCCAGTGTAGTGGATCAGGGTCTCTCTTGTTTGAATTTCATGTTTGATCCAACAGATAATACAGTGACATAAACAAAAAATCATTGGCCATATCACCTTATGCAACACACATATTATAAATAATGCACATAAGTGACATAACTCCCTTCAAAGGAGTTGCTGTAGACCTGTATTAATTTAATCTATTCAATAGGTTTCTTTCTCTCAAATAAACTTGGAAGGCATATTTTAAGTTGGAAAACTGGTGAAAGGTAAGCTCCCTCTTTCATGACGTGGTGTAGTGGCTGGCATCTTATATGCTTTACTTTATAAAGGAAATTAGCATTGTAGTAAGCGCCCTCTCCGATTGCCATGAAGCTAAGCTTAACTACTGAAGTTATTAGCCGACATGTGCAAATATCTAAAACTGTGAACCTTTGCACTTGCTAGGATGGAGCTCTACAAGATTCTGAGCTTGATGAGCTGTTTTCAACTGCACCAGAAAGGTGGGTTGTTCTCTCTTTGGAGCAGTCTTATAATTCTTATTTTTGGCTTGCCCTTAAGCATGCACATTTTGGTCAGTATTCTAATTTTTATATCAAAACATTCTTCATGGTGTACATTGGTCTTTTAAGTAGCAGCTCTTGAGACCAAAATAACCTATTTAATATGCATGAACCAAACTTGTAAGACTGGTTAATGTGATTCCTGCATTAGTTCTTACTCAAACGTCCAAATTATAGGCACAATGATCTTGATGTGTCCTACAGTATGAGTCCTCCACTAACTTTTGGCATTTGATACTATGAATTGCAACAATTCTAGTGAAGCTGATTGAATGAAATTTGCATGTGAGACAGAGTGGAAACAATAGCCTTCCTCGATATTATGTACTGCAACTTCTTTGGAATACTTGCTTTTCTTTTCTTTTTCTTTCCTTTTCTCTCTTATCTTTTTAATGTTCCTCAATTCCTCCTCATTAGTTACATCCATTACATGTGTAATCTTTTGTTCAACTTTCAGTCCATGGAATGATGCGCCTTACAAGGATTCTGTGGAGACAACTGAACTAGGGGATCTAAAACTTTCTGCGTTTCTATGTCAGGTGTGTGGTATCATCTTTACTTAGCATCGCAAGAGTAACAAAACTTGACTACTTTGTTTCATTAGATGAAAGCAAAGTTATCTCAGGTAAGAGCTATTCTTACCTGAAGGCTTGTTATTTGAAATGCCCACCAATCTATGAGTGTTCCAATAATAGATTACATAACTTGATTCGAACAAAATGACCAGCAACCATTTTAAGTTGTCCATTTTTCTTCTTTTTTTGAACTCAGTTGCTTCCTAAAAATGATGGCAATTTGTTTGGTATTGTTATTTCATAGATTCAATAGAACAATTCTGAAATGTTTCTATTACGAATTGATGTATCTAAACTTGTTGCCTACACAATCCCAAACAAGAGCTTCAACCAAGTCAAAGTCAAACGGGGAGAAAATCAACAATTCCATGATCCAAAACTTTGAAAAGAGAAACCAAATCCTTAATGTAGCATATGTGGCAAACAAGAAAGTAATGAACTTGATACACTAAAGTAAAGAGAAAGCAACACAACAGTGGGATTACGTGGAAACCCAAAATGGTTCACCCATTCGGGTGAACCATTGGTGGAGGAGACCGCCGAGAGAAGCCCACTAATCACAATGATGATTTCAATACTTGGAATGGATAAACAATGGAGCAAACTCAGACTTTAGCACCTGGTTTGTCTATGGGGTTCGGGAGTATTTTTTGTATTCTATTAGAGAAGATAACAACCTATATAACCTAGAAAAGGCAATAATAACCGTCAGGTACGGGAACGCGACTTGAGTTTGCATGGCTAGCTCGCACGTTTTTCTTAAAGATTCCATGCGATCTTCATTCTTCACTAGAGAGCCAGGTAAGGTTGCTCGGTTGCAGGCAACGCAGCATCGGGAATTTCTCCTTTGTGTGGGACACAAAATGTACCAAAGCTACCTGAGTTTGTTTATCTTGTCCATTGAGTCGGCGATTTAGGTTGGTGAGCTCCGATCACCAGACCTAGGTCGCACCAAGTTTGGAGGCTCAGTTAACTGTTTCTCATTCCATTTCCGATTTAAGTGGAAACTTCGTTTCATAAGAGTAATTGCCATTTACCAAAGGAAGAAAGATGAATTGCTATATTGTGGGAAGAATAACTGGATTCAGAATGTAAACACTTCTTATACTTGGCATGATTCCACATGAAAGTAAACATCAGTGCAGGTACTGTGACTACTGACTAGTATGCAAAATTCTGCCAGCCTGCTTATATCCACTTTGGTATGATTTGCTTTTTGTTCCCGTTGTCATCAACAAATACTGCAACTTTGCTAGGCATCTCTTTTAGGAGATGGCCTAAATAAGGAATTAGGAAGGGAGAAACTAATGCTCTGGATACATTAATCCTTGGTGCTTTTGTTTGAGCTACATGTGCAATATTTTGATAGGGTTTGTGGCATCAGTATACAGTAATTTTATTCCTACATGACCCAATCGAAATGTTGGAGTTTAGTGTAGCAATTGCTGCTGCGTTCATCTTACCAATAAGAATGTCTCCTGGAATGTAATTCCTTCTGATTTTCTTGACAATGGATATCATCTTATATCTTCTGTATAGTTCTCAAAAAAGAGAATTTATTTTGGGTCCCTAATGCTCGAGTTCCTCTTCTTAATTATTTGGTATCTCAGTTCTGCTGTAATTAAAGAGTTAAATGGTGCTTTTAATGGCTTCCAACTGCTGTTGAGCTGCAGAAAAAAAGAGTCTGCATCTGCTAAGTTGTATGCACTTTGTTACTAACACTAAGCTCATGGCGGCAGTGGGTCCTAATGACATTACTTGATCCATTTCAAAGTTTGGCTTATTTGATATACGTGGGATATACTGGTGATCCTGCAAAAGCGCTCCGTGTTACTCGAAAAAGATCCTTAAATGTTAAGAAGCAACAGACAGACAGACATGTTTTCCAATGCTTTGTTTTTGGACCCAAAAATGCTGGAAAATCTGCACTGTTGAGCTCATTTGTAGGAAGGTGTGCCTATTTAATAACCTTTGCTGGAAGTTTTTGCTTGACTTATCATCTCCATGAAATCCATCCATAAAGCTCGTACCTGTTTACTGTTATACCTTATAAATTCTGCTCTGAATTTTCTTGCAGGCCTTTCCAGAACAAATATAATTTAACAAGCAATCAATGTTACACAGTCAATACTGTTGACCAACTTCGGGTGAGTGTTTGTAGTGAAACATTGTGATTCTTGGCATACTCAGATTATAGTTCTATTTGGTGCTTATCCACCTATTCTGTTTAGTTGTCAATCCTATCGTTATATGATGATCTTACTCTTATTTACTTGTCTTCATTCTCCAAATCAAGTTCTATCAAATTTGAGGTTTTCCCTCTACACACTTTGTGGCACTTTCATCCTTGTATATAGATGAGGTGGTTCCATCATCTGAAGGGCAAGAATGGAAATATACAGTGGCATGGTCTTAAACTGCAAACTCATGAACCCCCTGAGAGGGAAAGCAGTAAACTAAGGGGCCATTTACTAAACACTTACTGGGTAAGCGCTTACTGATATCACGTCCCTCACCGATTAAGCACGGAAAGGACCGAAAATCTTACCCGGTAAGAGGCATAATAAGGACCGAGATTCTTACATGGTGAGGGAAAAGACTTTTACCTGGTAAGCGCTTACCGGGTTTTAGAAGCTTACTAACAGTCCATTTTGATGGCCGAAAATGTTAGACGATAAGGTATGTGAGGGTGATGTCTCTTGCCGGTAAGTGCTTACCCGGTAAGTATTTGGTAAACGGCCCCTAAGTTCTTCTGGCATATTGATGCTCTTCTCTTTTAGGCGGTTGTCTGTTCCAATCATGTGACTCTTGTATGATACACATTGATCTTTCAGGGAGTTAATAAGACACTCGTATTACATGAAATTCAAGAAGGTGACTTTAAAGAATGTCTATCCAATAAGGAGTCATTGGCTGCCTGTGATGTAGCAGCTTTTGTTTATGACAGGTGAGTTTGATGATCTACCTTTGGAATTATAATAAAGAATAATCTAGTTACTGATCTTGACCTGACCTTTGCTTACAAGCTCAGCCAGCTCAATTCAATGTAATATATGAAATTACAAGGGCTTCCATTTAGAAGTTACCTAGAAGGTTCAATTGCTTCAAAACCAATTAATTGAAGTTCATGGTCACTATAATGCGGAAAATTGCTTGGACATTTCGACAATGCTACCACTTCTCTTGTATGCCAACAATACAATGCTATCACTAAAAGACGAAGGATCATGTAAGAACAGGAGTTAAGGTGAGAAGCGTAAGAAGGGATCTAGACCCTTGATTACTTTTAATCTCACCCCCACACCATGAATTGCAATTGATATGGGAATTGATCCGGTGCATCTCATTAGGGTTGATCTTCAATTAGGATTGATCCAAGGGTGGAGATCTCTTCTTACCCTTCTCAACATAACTTCCAATTGTGTTAAGGCTCAACTTATTTTTCAGGCTGTGCTGTGATGCTCTACTTGACCTATCTTTAGTCATAAGCTAGTTGGTGTTTGGTATTCTCTTGTTGGTGGATAACTAATCCAATTTACAGCAAGGTTGTTTGTCCCTGCATATTTTGGTAATATTCAACATTGCTTATGGTTTTGGAAAGTGTCCGAAATTAATTACAACTCTTTCTGTCCTACACGTGATGATAGTTCTTTCATTACAATATATAATCGGTTGCTTGTTGCAGTTCGGCCGAGTATTCTTTAAAAAGAGCTTCAGAATTGCTCACGGACGTAGCTAGGCACGGAGAAGATAGTGGGTATGGTGTGCCTTGTCTCATCATTGCTGCTAAGGACGACTTACATTCGTATCCGATGGCAATCAAAGATTCAGAAACGGTACATTATGTTGACCTCCATCACATCCTTTTTTTTTGGAAGGGTGTCCTGGGCTAGGCCCAGACTAATCCCGACAAATTGTGACTACAAGACATCAACGTTGATAAACTCAGTGGCCACAATTGTTGTGGACGCCTGGAACTGAAACCAGGGCAGATGGGATATTCCACCACATCCCCCTGGCCTCAAGCACTGCGCCACAACCCTTGTGGTTTATGACATGCAAACTTTTGATATAGTAGATAATTTTCTTTTTGAACCTCTTTTTTTATGAAAATTACACCGACAGCTTTGATATGGTAGATCTTTTTCTTTTTACTCTAGATTTGTCAGGCAATGAAAATAGATGCACCTATTCGTATCAGCGTGAAAGAAAAACATATGAACAATGTGTTCCACAGAATTGTTAATGCAGCCGAGCAATGTCACTTGGGTGTTCCGGAGACTGAACATGGGAGAAACAAGAAGCATTTCCAACAGCTTGTGAACCGTTCTCTCATTCTTGCTTCCGGTATGCCTATCTGTAGTTGCATATCCAGAACCCTAAAAATCTTTATTTTTTGGAGGGTAGACGAAAGATCGTGTGAGAATAGGAGTTAAGATGAGAAGCATAAGAAAGGATCTGGACCCTTGATCACTTTTAATCTCACCCCCATCCCATGAATTGCGCTTATCACGGGAATTGATCCGGTGCATCTTGGTGCACCGCATGAGTGTTGATCTTCAATTGAGATTGATCCAAGGGTGGAGATCCCTTCTTACCCTTCTCACCATAACTTCCGTTCTCACCGGAACCCAACCTTTGGAGGGTATTTGCTCATTCCTCATATATTTGTAACTACAAATTTGCAGTAGGAGCTGCTGTTGCTGTAGTTGCTTTGGCAGCATACCGAGCCTATGCTAGGAGGAAAAGTAACTCTGCCAATTAGGGAAAGGCAGTAGCATCAACCTTCTTGCTGCACCATTGGAGTTGAAATAAGTGGTTCGTTACTCTCCATGTTTTTACCTGCTTTTAAACTGCCAGTTCTCAATCTAGCATCAATGATCCTCTGAGTTCTTGACTCCCATTTTCGCTTTTATATAGTTATAGCTCCGATGTTATCTACAACTCCATTGCTCTGGTATCTCAAATTTTCCATTTTTTGTTAGAAGAAACAATACATAATGTTTTCTGTTTTAAATTTATATTCCTAAAAGGTTTTCTTTCTTCCATATATGGGCACTTCTGTTTTTGAGTTATGTCCCGGTGAACTCTATGTCATGCTTTACGATTTAGGGTATGTTTGTTAGCAGCTTAATGAGCTTAATGGGACTCGCAACTTATTTGGTCAGTCATATATGACTGTTTGGTAGTGATTTAGTGATATAGAAAGTGGCTTAGCTTTTAGGGGAAGCTTTATACAGAAAGCTAAGCTTTTTCCAAACCTGCCCTTCCCAATTAAAAAACTCGTTCCTTCCATCTATGAAAAAACCCTCCCAAACAAAAACATTCTCAATCTATACAGACAGATTAATCCATACAGACAACTATATATACATGACTTAATGGAAAACCAACCAAACAGCCCCTTAGTAGAGTATGTATATAGACTCGCCTCCATTTTGCATATATGCATTCGAAAAAGGCAAATTGAAGCTAAAAGAGAGCCATAATTTCTTTCATTGTCCATTTGGATGGGGGTTTTAGGTATTGGCTGCATAGTTGTCAAGATCATACGAAACACTATTTGAACAATTTAAATAATGTTATATACTAAAAACTAATAATCAAGATCCTAGAAAGATTTAAAAATTAATAAATAACGTCTTACAAAAACCGCCACACTAGGTCATGGTGTGCCATGGGCTTAACGTGGCGTTGGAGACGAACCTTGAGTCATGGCACACCATGGCGAGCGTTTTAGAACACTAGGTGGAGGTGAAATATACGCAGACCTGACCTCTACCGTAGAGCAGAAACACATTTTCCAGTTGTGGATAAGCAAACCTGTCCAATTTCTAATGAATCGAGGCTCCGTTTAAAAAAAACCAAGTGGTAATATATCTATTTTCTATCATAAAGGACTCCTATCAACTACCGATTTCTCGTGAAGACCCTCTTGCTCGAGCGTGAGCAAATATGTAGAAGGAATAAGAGTAGCACATGGTGAACATAGAACGAGAAAATTAAGAAGGAAAATATGATGAGTAGGTAAATTGAAAACATATAAAAGGTAAGGTAATGTAAGGTAAAGCACACATAGAACAAGCAAGTCAAAACACATCCCTAGCCTAAACTGCCAGCCTTCTTCCCCCAACCTCACCAATTCCCTTCCGCCCAAGCGCGCTAGCTACAGGTCCTTACCACTAGTCTACTACCATAATCCTCCATCTCCAAGTACTTCTCTTAGAGGTCATGTCCTAGGAAATGTCTAAGGGTCTGTTTATGACTGTTTGGTAGTGGCTTAATGATATAGAAAGTGGCTTATTCAGGAAGCTTCTAGGGAGAGCTTTATGCAGAAAGCCAAGTTTTTTCCAAACCTGTCCCACCCAATTAAAATGCATGCTCCTTCCATTCATGAAAAAACCCTCCGAAACAAAAATCTTTCCAATCTATACAGACAAATTAATCCACATAGACAATTTTATTCATACATGCCTTAATGGAAAACCAACCAAACAGCCCCTAAGGCTGTCATGTCCATCCTCAATTGCTCATCCCAGATCGTCCTCCCGTCAACCGTCCCTCTTTCTACTCTCTTACCAGTGCCGACATCGGTCACCTATGAACGTGCCCAAACCATCGCAATCTCTCCTCTCAATTTATCTGTGCTGTTTGTGTTAATCTTCGTGTAGAGTTTGTTTTTCTGTTGGTATTTGGTAAAAAGTCCTGATGAATGACTAAGAACAACAACACACTCTTAAGACGAGTATATTGTGGTTTACACAACATTCATGTCTGTATTTGATCAAAATAGATATATGATCCCCTGAAATTTCATACCTCAACAAGAGACTCGTCGGGAGCTGTTTGGTTCATTGAATTCAAAGGATTTCAAGGGAAATGGAATGGTCAATTTTCTTTGACCAAGATCCAATTCCTTTGTTTGGTTCACATATTGATGATGTAGGAATCGTTTGAATTCCATTGAATTCCTTAGATTAAAGATTCCACCATTCCATGGGATATCCCAAAGATTCCAATTCCTTTCAACAATCCCATCGAACCAGATGTTTGGTCAAATTCCATTCCAATTCCTTCAAAGTCAAATTCTTTTGATGGAATCCAATTCCAAACCAAACACTCCCTCAGGTTTTTAATCCCATCATTGTCATTAAATCTTCATAAGTTTATCCAACATAACTAGTTGATAAGAGCTAAATCGACATAGGGGCTGTTTGGTTGATTTTCCATCAAGTTCTGTATGGATAAAGTTGTATATGTGGATTAATTTGTCTAGATTGGAAATGTCTATGTTTGGGAAGGTTTTTTCATAAATGGAAGGAGTTTGTTTTTTATTTGGGAAAAAACTTGGCTTATACATAAAGTTTCCCCTAGAAGTTTACTGAATAAGCCACTTTCTATATCATTAAGCACTACCAAACAACCATGTATAGCTGAGCGAATAAACTATAAATCCCATTAAGCTTATTAAGTTACTAACAAACAGGCCCTTACATTATGTGATATTGTTCTTTTTCTCGCTTCAGATTAATCGTTCATGTAGTAGTAGATGACGGAATTGAAATCGGAAAAAAAAAGTGATGTAATTAGTATGAGTGGAGAATGTTTCTAATGTGAAAATGTGACTTGATGTTATGGAGTTCTTTTGGTACTACAGCATCTGTACCAAAAAAGCTCAAAGCCAAGGTACAGCGGTGTCTAGATTTTGAGGGTCTTTTGGTCTGACCACTTGAGATAATTCATAGAGAGTGTGGGGGATGGGGGTAATGAAGGACATACCCTCTGGCTCTCTCTCTTTGGTGCATTTTATCTGCTGTTGGCCCCATAAATCATACCCTCATTTCCTTTCTCAATTATTATTTCATTTTATATATTATCAATATACTATCAGACATGGAGGCGGTTTATGTGTGGGACCGGTTGGAGCTACTGGTAATCAACTTTTTGCTCAAATATACTATCAAACACATCGCTATATGTTACGTTTTAGGGTTTTAGGTTTAGGGTTTAGGCGAGTCCCCTACTACTGATTCAGTCAAAACTTCACTATGCCAGCATACCGAGCACCTTTCTGGCCAGCATTATTTACTTCACTTACCGGGTCAGGTTACATACTTTCCAAGCCTACTCTTTTTTGCGATTAGGGTTTTTCAGAGATTTTTTTTTATTGGCAAGCACTTGCTAAACAACCCTTTACAGTCGGTGTTTACCCAGACCGAACCTTTTACATAGACCATACTCTTACTTGGTTAGCGCTTACCCAATTTTTTTTGTACGGCCCTGTATTTCTACTTATGCGGTCTCAACCTGACAGTTCTGTCGATAAACAAGACTTACGGCCTGTTTACCTAGACGCTTACCTGGGAAGCGCTTACTGTAATAGCCAATACTCCCGTTTACCTTACCGGTAAGATTCTACTCCATCAAAACGGTATCATATGCAACGATTTACCCGGTAAGCATTAACCGGATAAGAGTCGTCACCCTCTTATCGGGTAAGACTCTCGGCCCTTGCCATTAATTATTCTTACCACGGTAAGATTTTTGGTTCTTATCATATTCATCTGATAAAGTAAATGATCTGATAAGTACTTTGAAATATTTTTTTTTTGTTGTTCAAAGATTCCAGCAAGTGGGTGATTGCAGGCAGTGATTGTGGGGTGTGATGTAGATTCACCTGTTTTCTGTATGATCATATGACATTGTTCTGTGAACTAGAATTGCATGCGCTTATAGCTTATAAATTGTGAACTCCTAATAACTCTTTTTTATTAAAATAATTAATAATATGATTTGATATTTAGGACCTCTACATTGTCTTGAGAAATCCGTTTTAAGGGTGCGTTTGGTACGTGGAACAGGGTGGGACAGGACAGGACAKGACACACTTGTCCTATGTTTGGTGTGGCTTTATGTGGGACTAACTAGAACTAACTAGAACAAGGGTGGGACACGGTAGTCCACCCTTTACCCCTGGAACTAAGTAGAACAAGAAAATTTTTACAACTTTACCCTCAAAAACCTCATACGCATACTGTCCCTTCTTCCCTCAAAAACCTCATACGCTTCCACCGTCTCTCCTCTCCTCCATCGCTCCTCTCCTCCATCGGTTCCACCTCATACGCTGTTTCTACTCGACCGGCGACCGGTGACGGCGACGGCAGTCCGACGATTTCCTTTCCATCGCACCCTACCTTCTCGGCGATGGCAGTCCGACAGCCCTATCTCGACGAGTTCCTTTCCATCGCACCCTACCTTCTCCTTCATCAGGTACACGATTGCCCTCTGTTTGCTATGTTTGGAACGATTTAGGATTTGTTATATCTGAATCACTATTTGGGGTTGCTATGTTTGAATCGATTTAGGGCTTTTTTTGCTTGAATCGGCTGTTGCTATTTTGAGATTTGAAGAATGGAAGTTGCTTACACTCGGGTTTAGAATCTGATGTCGTCTTTGGGTTTAGAAGTATGGTAGATTAATTTGATCATGGTGGTTAGAATTCTATGATTGACTCACCGGGGGTAAATTGGTCATTTTAACCAGTTCTGTCGAGTCCTATAATGTCTTACCAAACGCTGAACAGCTGTCCTGTCTTGTCCTGTTCTGTCCCGTCCTGTCCTGTCTGCGTACCAAACGCACCCTAAGGGACAGGATAAATGCACAGACATATATATAGACTATCACACGTGATACTATTATTCCATCACATATGATATACATGTGATACTAAATCAGAGACATGAATGATTTTCGATGCGATCTTAGTTGCGGGTCAACTCGCCCTTACACCACTAAGTCCCTTCACAAGTATTATCACATGTGATAAGGGTGTTGTTGATATGATACCATAATTCATCAAGACCATCACATGTGATACTAAATCATAGGCGCAGACAACCTTTGGTGCGGTCTAAGTCGTAGAACACGTCGTCCACATATTACAGCGTCCCCTCATGCGTATTATCACGTGTGATAAGAGTGTTCTCGTGTTCTCGTAAAATG